TGAGTTTTTCTGTACAGAATTCCCTTCCTCACATATATCCCAATGTTAACACTGTTAGTTCATCAAATATGTTTTGCTCCCAAAACAAAACCCTTAAATCCTTGAAGACATCATTTTTTTTCTTTTTTTCTCTATTCTGTTTCCCCCCATATATCTCAGAGCATAAGACTACCAAACAGAAACAGAGTTAACATAGACATATCAGACTGAATGGAAACAATTAGAATCTGTAAAGTTAATGCTTTGTCAAGTTTAATTGATTTTAAAGAAAACCATTGAATACCAACTATAACAAGGAACCAACCGGGTTCAGGATTAGGGACAAAAAAGAGAGTAAGGCATGGGCCCACTCCCCAGGTGTTCACAGTCCCCTTGAGGAGAAAGATAGGCATCTAATTATAATAGGACAGGTTATATCTATATACTATCATTTACTATCTCAAGTTGCTTTGCTCATGTAATATATTTCCAGCTCTTTATTCAGTTGGCATCCAGTACGACTACCAAATACTTTTTTCACTCAGATATTTTTATTGTCTTTAACAGAGAATACATGAATAGAAAATCAATTTTTATTTGTCTGATTACACTATTAATTATTTCTAGATTCATTCTTCTTAGCAACATTTTACCAGTGTTTCATGTTGACCAGAATCCTACTGAGATTGTAAGAAGTGATATATTTGGAGATTTTTAACTAATTTATCTACTTGGAATGGTGGTCAGTGGTCAGTTTGTGTCTCATCATCCTTCTGAAACAAATTCTTAGCAGAGTTTCAGAAGCTGACACCTGATATTTCTTCTCTCCAAATAGATGCTTTGTCATTAAAATTTTAAACATTTAAAAATGTCATTTAATTTAATGTTATTTTTGTTCCATCTACAAATTTTATTTTAATACAGACTATTATGTGTTGTATAATTCATGGAACATCTGACAAGCAATCAGTGCATTTTATCATTTTAAATCTATAGCTATAGGAAAGATACAATCTCACAGCCTCCTCTTTGTCTTTATCTGCATATTGTATTCCTGGAAGCCATGAGCCTAGACTTCTCCAAAGCCAGTGGTCTTTAGCTCAAGGATAAACTCAAGAAGTAATCTAATTTTAAATAATTGAAGCGTGCCTTAAAACTTTAGTCACTCATAGGCAAAAATCCACTTTTCTCTCTAGGGAAAGGTCCACAGCAAGCCCTACCCAGATCTTTGCAGTGGCCTTACATTTATACACTAGTTTCATTCTATTCACAAAACACCTTTGTAAATCTCAAAGTAGAGGGACTTTAGTGAGTGCAATTAGAATGTCCTGGCAAGTAACCTCTCAAAAGTGAATGTGAGCCAATTGCATTCAGTTCTCACAATATTATGAAAGGAGGCTATGGGTTATATTGCAGTGTTTCTAAGCTGATTATCCAGAACAGAGGCTCAGCTTGATGCCAGTTCTTTACATGCATTGCCAAACTAAACAAGTACCTTTTGAGGTTCATCCATCACAATTTATGATACATTAAGCTAAATCTAATGTTATCTCAGGCTGGTGTTACAGGATTTTCTATATTCAGGCTAAGAAATTGCATTTGGGGAAAGGGATTTCTCCTCTTTTTTTCCATAGAATTTCTTTAGTTCTATGAGTCTTTTTATGCCTGTTGGACCCCTGTTATACTCTGGTACTAATCGCAGATTAATTTTAAGTATTTGAAATCAACTGGTAGGAGGAAATGATTTTAACATTGCATGCACTACTATAAATTGTTCACTGAAAAGAATGTTTAATTATAAACGAAGAAACTTGCTTCCCCGTTGATTAACTATATTAAACACTTCATATATTCAAAGCTCTACACTATTGTTAATAAGCTATTTCTCACAATGGGTCTCAGAGGGAGCATAATACAATCACCTCCTATTTTTATAAATGATGCACTTGATCCATAAAAATTAGATTGCCCATATCGGACCACATAGAAATGAAAAACTAGAATTGGGTTTCAAGTTCTTAATGCACCTGTGCCTAGTTAGCAGCGCTATGCTCTTAGTTTTCTGAGCAGCCAAAATAAATTAGAAAATTAAGTAAATTTAACTGTCAGATGGCTACACACACACACACACACACACACACACACACACACACACACACTTTTTGTTTTCCTTAGAACATTTCTGTTCAGTAAAACCAGATATTTTGTTATGGAGTAACATAAAACAAACTCAAAGAGATGGCTCTCCAGTCAGTTGATCCATGCTACTTATTCTGATATTCCCTACCTTTAGCTCACTTGCCAGACTGACTTGTCCCTCTTTTCCTTTTCAGAATATGTCATTTGAAAGACTAATATGATTGACTTTGGCCAAATCATAGAATTGTCTGATACTGACATCAACAAATATTTGTGGCAATGAGTTCGTTCTTAAAAGCCCACTTGCTTATATTGCTTTCTATCAAAAATATAGTTACATATCATATCTAATTTTATTTCTGAATTGATTATTAGATTTATAATATTTAAAATATTTTTACTTTGGATTTTAAAAGTTATTTCTCATGATTAAAACAGTCCATGATATGTAACATAGATATTGATCTCTTTTTTTTTTTATCAGTGGCTTTTGAATTGTTTAGTAGTTTAAATCTAATTTGTCTGATGAATTTGCAGTTCTCTCAACATCAGTATCACTTTAATATGTCACTGTACAGAGAACAAAGCTAGAAAACAATAGCTGCGTAGTCAATAAATTTTAATCACTGAAACATCAGAGTTTTTTGTCATATTTGTATATGACAACCAACATATAACTTAGGAGTGGAATTTATCCTAAATGTACCCCCATACGAAACTATTACACATATATATACAAAATTTTTGTCTTTGAAAAGTATGAATCGTCTGTTTAACTTTTTTTTAGCTTTATTATTTCTCTATAGAAACAGGATAAGGAAAATTCTTACCAAATGAAAGGAAACTTTCATTTAAATGTTATGAATGCTAACAAAAGTAAATGCTCCTTGACATACTATTTTTTTAGGTCTGTTTAAAAAAAGTAAAAGACATTCTATTATCTTATAATTTGCTATGTGCTACAGAAATTTAATTGCATTTGAATTATATGTGCACAGTATATTATACTAAATATAGTAGCCAGATATGGACATTTTCAGCACATTTCCTTTTCTAGATATAAAGTCATATATTTCAGCACCCTATTAAAATATAAATATATGACTGTACATAATGGAATGCCATAATTTCTCCTGATTTTATCCTAAAGTCATATACTGATAAAGTTATGGTTGGGAATAAATAAGTTTCATAAGTTGCATTTGGAAGATGTAACAAACAGCAATATAAGAATGTGATTTAAATATTTGTCTTTCAGTATTTTTATTAAGCCTGAAGCTTTGTGCATTTTCTAAACAATATTTTGGAGGATTCTCCTCTGAGATTCAGACTTCTTCAAACTTATAAAACATTTCGTATCTTTTTTTAGACATAGGTATCATATGCATTGGGTAGATAAACTGGACTATAAGTTACGAGTACACAGTTTGCCATACATGAGGGTCAAGTTTATGTCTGTTTTGTTCATCTCATGTTATAAGGTCCTTGCCTAGTGCCTAGTCCTGAACAGGAGCCCTATAAATATTTCTTGAATAAAAAGAATGATATAAACATTGCTTTTGATACTCATTTCTCTCTCCTTATTAAGATGCAAACAAGGAAGCAGATGAAAATATTTGAGGCTGAAAAGTAAAAATTAAAATAATTTTTTTAAGATTTAAAAATGTATTAATCTCTAGTGCATTCTTAAATAGTTCTACAGATTTCCATGGTTTTTTCTGGCCTTTATTGGACTGAGGAAAATCAAGTTAAATTGAGGAAATTTTACCCAGAATGCAGTTAGAAGGCCTCCAACATCTGCAGGTCTTCTAAATTCACGTCACTTTTGCCAGTGTCATCATATATTTAGGTTTAATTGTAAAAGTGAATGATAATTATGTTTCACTGCATATGCTACATTTCATCATATAGAGATGGTGATGTTAAAGGAGAGGGGCATTAGTAAGATGTTGGAGAAAAGAAAGATGGGTATGTGAGTATAACTGCCATAAAAAGGAACAAACTCTATTCCAAATTGAGTACACAGTATCATTCAGAGTTCAGAACTGGAGCCCTTAAGAAGCCAATAGATGCTCCCCCGGCAGTTTCTGGTAGTTATCATTACTGACACAGGTTGTGAGAACAGCACTGACCTTAGACTCAGAAAGCACTGCTGTTAGGATACAAACACAGCATGTTTTCCAAGCCATCTGCCAAGAGGTTCTTTTGGCCATCTGCATGAAATAGCCAGCAAACAGTTTCTACTGGAGACATCTATGAATGGTGGAATAGAGCCATCATAGCAAATTTTTTGAAAAAAGTATTTCTTTCAATTTAGGTTATTTCACTACTATTGAAAATACCTCATGAATATGAACTGACTGAATTTTTACCAAGCTAGTTTTGGTCAGCATGTAGATACAACCTTAGAAGAATTTTCTTTAATATGAAATTTATGCAATATTTGAGTTATTTGGGAAATTGTGCCATAATTAAAGTATGACATGGGTAAGGAATTGGACTTAATGATCCGTATAATTATTTTTAACTCTAATACCTAATGACTTTATATAAACACGTTTCATCATTTGTTCAAAATTCAACGGCAACAATGTTTAAGTATCATATATAGATTTAAAGCATTTTTTATATTATTGGAAAATATTATCCAATTTATAAAAATCAGTTTTAGAGTGTCTAAGTGACTTAGGTCTTTAGATTATTTCTAAATTACCTAAATGAGTTTTATTAATTTGCACACTACTTGGAAACTGAAGAAACATATGTACATTTTACTTTATTTTGTTTTACTTTATTTCAGCCCAGAGATGACTACCTAGAGTGAATGCATCCCTAACATTATGAAAGTAACACTAATAACTTACGAAATTTTTATGTTTTAGCATTAAAAAAAGGACGATTTTGGATCACACCAGATCCTTATCACAAAGATGACAACATCCAGATTGGGCGTGAGGTGAAAATATCTTGCCAAGTAGAAGCTGTTCCTTCTGAGGAGTTAACATTTAGTTGGTTTAAAAATGGTCGTCCATTAAGAAGTTCTGAACGGATGGTTATTACGCAGACTGATCCGGATGTCTCCCCGGGAACGACAAACTTGGACATCATTGATTTAAAATTCACGGATTTTGGGACATACACATGTGTAGCATCTCTGAAGGGAGGAGGAATATCTGATATCAGTATTGATGTTAATATATCCAGCAGCACAGGTAAGAAGCATATTTATGATTCAAAAGATGTTCAAATTGAGAATAATTTTCTTTTTTTACGTAAAACAAAATAGTCTTCAGCCAAGCTAAGAACATTCTAATTTTCAAAAAGCTTCCTAAAACCAAAATCCTAACATTCCGAATGCCCAATAAATATCATGTTAAGAGACTTTGATTTTGATTAGATTTAGATTTACATTAGGTTTTGATTTAGACTTAGATTTGATTTAGATTTACGTGTGGTTTTACAGAAATAGTGCAAATAAAGTTAATAGTGTTGTCTATGATAGATATAGGCTTCTGGGTTAAATGGTACCAGTTTTTAAATTATTAACTAGGAACTCTCTGTAAAGCCTAAAATTATGTTAATTAATAATGTTAAACACCAAATGGCTAAAGAATTAGGACAATTTTCAGAAATGTGAAGCAAGCAGAAGCTATTTAGTCCATAGAAGAAAATACTGAGAGATAATTTGAGTATTCAAATATAAGGAATATAAGAAATGTATTTTCCACCAACAAAAACCAATGATAAACATGTTAAAATAGTAATCAGATGTGACTCTTTCAAGAACCTTATGATAGAATCTCTTCACAATGAGAATGGCTAAATATAAAAATAGATTGGAGTGAAATTTCTTCTATTAAGGTTAAAACCAAAAATGTGTTATCAATTTTCTCTCAATTAAATGAATGTCTATGGATAAGGGAAATTACAGGGTAATTTTGGTATGGGAGGACATATTAGCTTAATTCTTAGGATGTTTTAAAGCCCTGTGATTCTATGAACTGCAATCAGTATGCATCTGGAGAACTACAACGTTGCTTTATTTGTTTTGCCAGCTTGTTACTAGATTGAATTTTAATTTAGGATTTTTATATAATCCTAGGGCGAATAATATGTGTTGAAAACATAGAGCACAAATGTAGATAGCAGACATACTCTGTTTGTTTGTTTTTTTTAATTGGAGTATATTTGCTTTACAATGTTGTGTTAGTTTCTGCTGTACAATGAAGTGAATCAGCTCTATGTATACATATATCCCCTCCCTCTTGGACTTCCCTCCCACCCCCATCCCACCCATCTAGGTCATCACAGAACTTTGAGGGAATTTAAATGGTTGGCTGCTTCTTTCCAGTCAGGCAGTATTTTGACTCTTGTATGTTAACAGATTGACCTGAGATTTTGTGTCTTTTCATGATTCCAAATTGCAGTGCACACTGGATTGATTTTACTCCTTAAGGGATATGGTCCATACCTCAGGCTGACCAAATGTGCTTACTTTTCACCATTCTGCATTATTTCTAAAGGATATTCCATTCTAGGGTGATGAAAGGTACTTGTGTTTGGAAATATGTCCTTTTCTAGGTAACAAACAAACAAAACTACAATAACTATTTTTTATCTAACTTGTGTTCAAAATTAGTGCTATCCCTAGATGGACTCATTTGAGGATATCTAAGGAAAGCTGTTGACATGCTCAGTCAGTCATCATTCATTTATGTATTTATTCAATCAACAGATGTCCATGGAATACCTCCATCAACATGCTAGGGACACCCATGTATGATATTTCCCATAAGAGTAAGAACAATTTTGTAAAATCCATGATCATTTTTCCTTATTTATGAGAGACAATTTTCCAGATGGTCTACACTGAATTATGACCATTGCTTTGTTTGTTTGGTTGTTTGCCTGGTTTTGTTTGCTTGTTTCTTTTTTGAAACCAATGACAAAAACTTATATGTAAAGAATCAGTGCTCCTATCTAAACAGACTTGTCTGTTGGGAGTGCAGTTCATATACCATTAAACTTAGACAAAAGAGGGAGCAGAGAATGGAGAGGAGAAAGGAGCATTATATAATTATTCACAAAATGAGTCCTAACATTCATTTTTATATACCCTAGTTAGTTACCTATTTGAAACTGTACTGTAAATGACCAGCATTGATTCATGAAATTTCCAAAAATCTTAAAAGGAAAATTCCAAAAGGTGATCAGAAAAGCAGAAAATTCTCAAGAAATGCCTCTTATTAATAAAAGTTTAGTTGTTATAATTAAGGTTTTTTAACCATTATTATTTGTCTGGTTACCAAAGGTGACAGTGCTCAAGATGAAGGAGATATATTAAATCCAAAACACTCCCCTTTTCTGTTCCCTACCCACCACCGACAGACCTGGTTGTGGTCTGTCTCCTCCCTAGAGTGGAAGCTCCATGAAGGCTGGGACTTTCTCTGTATTGTTCATTGTTGTAATATCAGCATCTGGAACAATACATGGCACTTAGAAGATACTCAATAAATTATAATTAAATCAAAAAATGAGCTAATTTGTGCATGTAGCTTTCCTTTTAGGTTTCTTTCCTCCTCCTATTATTACCTCTGCAAGGTAGACATTTGGTGTCTCTCTTCTTGATCTTGTAATTCCCTGCAGACTTTAAGAAAACCATTCATAGACCAATTTATACTATTATTTAATATGTTATCATTCTCAGGGGCAGGACTGGCTCCATAATTTGTGGCATACAGTGAAAATTTTTTAAAATGTGTCCCTAGTTCAGAACTTGATAAGGATTCCATGATGGCAATATCAGAGCATTAAGCCAAGTGTGGGACCCTTCTAAGCATGGCTGCACAGGTGACATGCTTGCGGGACTGGCCTGTGCACGGGATTGTATTTTGATAGAGAGGTCTGCAGAAGATGGTGTTTAACCCAAAGGATAAGTCACAAATGTGATTACGTATTCTATTTTCATGCTGAAACTGGATTTGATGTTTCATTTTGCTTACAGTAGAGTTGAATACCAGAGTGCAATATAAAGATCTGTAGATCAGAGATTGTGTGATTCAGTTGGTATCAATAAAACTTATTTTTATCCCCACAGAGTAGAAGACTACACTTAAAGCAGTGCTTTAATCTGAAATATAGAGATATTACTGGGGATAGAGTTTGAACAAGCTATAGCATGGAGGAAAATCTTAAACTATATTAATTCTATGAACCATATAGGATTCAGAGGAAATTCCCACAAATTCAGCAAAGTCAAAAAGGAGGAAACTACTGTTAAGACATAAGTAAATATGTGGGGCCCTTTTAGATTTTGGGTTTTGCTAGTTAGTACTATTTTAGGGAATTTAGAATTGACCAAGTGGTCAGTGGTTTTCTTATGTGTTAAGCATTGTGATTATGTTAAATGTAAGCAATTTTAGGATGACATTTTAAACTTAAAAAAAAATCTGAACCTTTTGTTTTTCATACAGAATCTTACATTGAATCTTAGTTGTTAACTGTGTTTTAAGAGACATATATGAAACTTATTAAGATGAGAATGAGGTACCATAAGGCACTTCTGCCTAATAGTTTGAAAACTGTTTCTTTAAATGACAGAATTGCATCTCTAGATATGTTTTTGAGTACTTTAAAATTGAAATATAAAATATCTCAGGAAGGTAAATCCTAGTTTACAGAATTATTCATATTTTTAAAAGGCAGTGATTTGACTTAAAAAAAAAAACAGAGGCTACTTGCCTTTTGGAGTTTTCCTCATGCATCTGACTGAATAATAAAAGCTATGATATATGTGATAATAGATTATGTCTTCTTTTCACATTAATTCAACATTAGAAATATTTTTTTTCCTCCTCGTTCTGCAAACATGCAAACTGTTTTATTGTGAGTATTTGTTGTTCTGTCAAGTTAAAATCATGTCCCTTGCAGGTTCTTTTACTGTGTTACTGCTCTGTATCTGGCTGTATGTCTCATGGTGACAGACAGTGGGCCTTGCCCTTAGGGATCTTACAGTCTAAGTTGTCAAATTACTTAGTTGTCAGATGATTTAAAAATAAGGCATGATACATAGTGGAATGGATGCTGTACTTAAAGTTTTATCAGACTTCTGTAGGAATCATGAATGTTTTCGTCAATGTGGGCACAGAAAAATTCCACAGAAAAACAATATTTAAGTTAAATCTTGCTAGAAGGAGCATTATGACAGTGACAGTGAAGGGAGAAAACATTTGGCAAAATATACAGGACGAAGAAAGTCCCAGAAATATTATGTGATTCTTGCTTTTTACTGTAGAATTAATATTAACTGATATTAATACAAGCAAGTTTTATTGGTTTATTTCAATTTTATTATTATCCTTAATGAAGCTATATTTTATGTGGCTAGACTGCAGGTAACTTACATTGTAGTAATTGTAAAGTTCTCAATTAAAACATTAAATATACTGAAATATTAATTGTTACAGTTAATCTTGTAAAATGAAAATCATTCACATACTTGCTGGAAAATGCATGTAAATTTTAGCCTAAAATTTTGGCAACAGTTAAAATCAACCCTTAAAATACTATTTCTTGTTTCTTATTCGTTTACATAAGTATAATTGTTACAGTAGATTTTTAATTTTCAGAGGGTTGCTGAAAAATATCCCATTGCTTCCTCCAGTATTGTTATGCATAAAGTCCTTTGGTGCTCTTCAGCTTGCATGTATTCCTTTGTATGACCTGAAAACTCGTAGGTTTATAGTAAACTCTGAAGCATCTGCATCATGCCTAGAAAATATAACAGTGAGCCTGGTAATCTGTGGAATTCCGTGGTGAGACAGAAGACTCAATACAAATTTGATGATTTTTTTTTCTCCCCTGTTTGAGTACAGGGACATTTTATATAGCAAAAAATGGAGCAAGATTTAGAGGATTAAACCGGAGGCAGCAACATAAGCGTAGGTACACAGAGAAGGTAACAAATTGAGAAAATTAGTTGGAAATTTTATCTTTGCTGCTGACTACCAGGCTAGTTACTATAATTATGATAGTTAATTGTCTGTACAAGTATTCACACCTGTGAAATAAAAGTTCTTGATAATAGAGGACTATGGTACACAACTAATAAGAATAGTTGATGAGCATGAGAGCAAAAGACAAATGATTGTCTTAATTGGATTTGCTTCTTTGCCCTTTTCAAGTTAAGGAGGAGTAGAAACTCATGAAATTT